CACTGTGGTCTCAAAACCATAGACAAGTTGAGCACAGTGTGAGTAGCTAATCCACCATCTCAACGGGCACACAGATCGACCAACTGAGCCAACCATAGATGTGACTAGCTTCATCAGAAATAGCCATTGATTTTATTAGCATACATTTATATGGAAATGTCTGCACCCCTGTTCCCTCTTCTATTATTTTCTAAGGTAAGGCTGACTGACACTTGAGCATCTACACAAGGAGCCAAACAAAGCTATTTTATTGATGGGCCATTATAACAGTGCAGCAATGGGACTGTGTGTGAGAATGCAATCGTGTCACTGGCCCTTAGTAATCTTTGTCGTCTTCAGCAATCCATTCTCACAGCAGCCTCACCTGAAAATGACATTCTGACAGCATTTACATGGAAATCACTTTGCCTCTTCATCTGCAACAGAGGCCTATGTGGAGGCAAGGCTCCTCAGAGGGATGCACTATAATTGGACAAAATTCAATGACGTACTTTTACTTCACTACATTTGAGAGTATCTGTTTCTTCTCCTTATGGTTTAATATAGCCTGTAAGTATGGTTGAAGGGTTATCTTTTAGCACGTTCATGATGACATCTTGCCTTTTTCACACACACAAAAAAAATAATCAGCTCTTTTTATCAAGATCACCTCACTTTAATAGTTCTCAAAATCACTTTTTTACTTTTTACTCTAAAAGTAGACTTTTAAATGGGTATTTTAATTTAACTTTGAATGTCCCCTGTAGTTATGTATATATTTTACTTGTGCATGTGCATGTATAAGTGAGAGGGCTATCCTTCCTCCTTAATGTATTTTAAAAATTGAGCCCTTGTGGAGCAAGATATTTATTTTAATTTGACTAAGCAGGCCTACAATTAAATGTCTTTGACAAGCCACATCCTACTTGCTCCATTAGGTCTACTGTGTGCCAATAGACTGTGAGGCTGTGCATTTGCTGTTAACTGTTTTCCAAAAGTAAGTATAGCATGTTTTGCTTACTTGTCTTTTAGGGCATGGTTGGTGTGGGCCAGAACCATAGCTTTGCTGGATACAAACAATTGACTTGGAGCAAAATAATGACCCTAACACATCCCATTGAATGTGGTGTTGTCACACATTGGGACGATATGGAGAAAATCTGGTACCACATTTTCCACAATGAGCTCAAAGTGGCCCCAGAGGAGCAACTGGTCCTGCTCACAGAGCCCCCCTTCAACTCTAAGGCCTGAAAACGGTCAAGTACAACACAGGACTAAAATCTAAATCTCTGCAATACCTCACATTGTAGGCAAGGCAAGTTAGAGCACAATTTTCATGGGAACATAAGCTTGTTTCCACAGCTCTGTTTTCTATATTTCTGATTATATTTTAAGTAAATGCAAAACCTCTACCCTCACCTAAGCTTAACCATTATCCAATAACCCAAAAATGTGTGAACATAGAGCTGTGGGACCACAGAGCCCTTTTTTTTAAATAATTCAAAACGTTTAACTGAATAATAAAACATTCAAACAAAAAATATAAATATATAAATAAATATTATAAAAAAGAGTCATAGGCATCACTAAACAGAACTGTCCATCTTTAGTCCTGACTCCACCAGCAGGAGGCCAATCCCTGAGGTCCTCATAGTGCGAGATCGTTCTATATACGGCACTAATATTTTCCAAATATTGAAACATCAATACTAGATTTTAAAAGTGTATAACTTTATAACAATCCTTCAGTCTCCTTGCTCCAGATCATCATTAACTATCATTAGTTGTACCCTAACCCTTTCATTCACAACAGATTACATAGTTGTCTCTCCAAGGTGATCATGAGATTGTGCATGACATCAAGAAGAAACTATGCAGGGGTCTGTGAGAAAGAAATTAGCACTGACACTCATCCCTTCTTATTCCTGGCGATGGTGATGAGGATGGTGATGGACAGTTCATCACCATTGGAGAAGAAAGGTTCAGATGCCCAGAGTCCCGCTTCCAAACCCTCTTTTCTTGGTAAGTAAACTACACATGACCAAAGACAGAGGTCGTATTATGTACTGTATCATATTATGAGTGTTTTAAAAAGTTATAACAACGTTCTCTCACCATACCCTGAGCTAATCCTTACTACTTACAAATTGTAAATGTATGTACATTGTTAATGTATTCATGTATGTTTGAGTGATCTACATTGGCTATGAAGTTAGGAAGGAGTAAGGAAAGGAGCAATTATGGTTCCTTTCATAGCTCCTTTGGTATAGGAAGCTCCGGAGGTTCCTCACCAGCGGTAAGGAGCTTTGAGGTATCCCAAAATCTACTGCATACTATTGTAAAAGTTATACATTGCAGCATATGATTAATTTAAGTCTTCTGCTTAACTAAACTCCACTTTACAACATATAAATCATAACTACTATAGAGCCACATCAGCCTGTTTGATATTATAATGTGTTTAATGCAGCTTAGTGCACATTTATTTATGTTTTACAAAAACAAACTTAAAACCACATGGCTAATTTGCATAAACTATAGGCACTGAAAAAAACTGTTCTGTCCTTGTGCTGCTGATGGGGTCAGCTTCTGTCAGACTAAAGGACAGGTCTCAGTGGAATATGTGTGTTCTTTCTGTGAGAGAGGATGTGCTGCTAATGTTGAGTCTGTTCTGTGCATATATATTGCCGGTGAAGGAGTTCATGTTAAACTTTTCAGAGATCATAGTGCAGGTTCAGCACGGCTCTTTATTTAACAGTCATTTCACGTTACTTTATTTATGTTGGCTATAGTACCGGGTGCAATATCTCATAAGACGCAGTAATGGAGGATGGTGGGCTTGTTGTAGTCTGTTTTCTGGGAGTTGTAGTTTTGACTGTAGTTTGAGTGCTGCTGGTTAGGAGGATCCGGATCCACCTAAAGCACTGATAGCTCCTTCTCACTCTTCCTTCCTCCTCCTTGGTCCTCATAGTTGACCTCATGACGTCGTTCTCAGAGGTCAACAATAAGGAGAAGGAAGGAAAAGGAAGGAGGTATTCTTGCACATTTTTGTATAAATAAATCAAATTTAAAAAATAAATAGAATAAAACAGACACTGCAGTCCTGAAGAAATTTATGGGAAGTTATTAAATACCTACCGAAAATATGTCTTCAGAATACAAATTTTAGTAAGTTTATTCTGGTACAGTTATTCTTTCATTTGCTGTTACAGTATTCACAAGGAATATATGATGATACATGGGCTGCATTCAAAAATGGGCAAAAATGCCTCCTTCCTTGTCCTTCCTTCTCCTTATCGCTGATCTCTGAGAGCTATTGTACATCCTGAGGTCAACTATAAGGACCAAGGAGTAGGAAGGAGCAGTGGGGACAGGGAGCTATCACTGCTTTAGGTGTATCTGGATCGTCCTAACCAGTGGGGGGAACAACAGTCAAAACTACATTTCCCAGAAAATGCACAACAACAAGCGCACCATCCTCCACCACTGCACTGAGTCCATGCATTTATAGTTCTATGGCAGAGTCTTATGAGAATGATTCATTATTTTGGATATCTTTCTGGGATACCTTATACCTCTTTACCGCTGGTTAGGAACCCCCCTAAGCTTCCTATGCTATGAAAAGGAGTTATGAAATGAGGCATAATTGCTCCTTTCCTTACTCCTTCCTAACTTCACTGATCAACTGTCAATCAATTAATTCTGATTGGGCCATGTAATGGAATATGTTATTAAATGTATTTTAATGTAGGTATTCAGTATTCTCTAACTAAAAATGTAATTTAAAAGTATTCTACTGCCCATCTATACATTTCAGTCTGGGGCTCTACACTATACAACTATATACTGACATATCTAGTGCATAAAGCACAATAAACATTCTCCCTATGGTATTACTTCTTTGAAGTTTTTATTTTAGTTTTATAATGGCCCCGCTTCTCTTCCACAGATTGTTACTCCCACAGAGAGAGAGTATGCTGTAAAGCTCAGAGGCTCCAACCTGGCGTCTCTGTCCACTTTCCAGCAAATGTGCATCAGCAAGCAGGAGTATTTTGAATGTGGTCCCAGCATCATCCACCAGAAATTCTTTTAAACAAATTGTTTTCTCAATACTTAAATCTTAAATATGTAGTACAGTTGGCTGACTATAAGCTATATTCAGGATATTGACTGTATATGTGTGTGTGTTTTATGGTTGTTTCAGCTTCGGTGCTGGCTCCTATCTGTATGTCTGTAACTGTAGATCTTTGATGAGTCAGCTAATTCTTTTTAGGGGATTATACGGATTTATATGGACCACAGCTGAACAGGGAAGGTACAAAAACCACTCCACACAAAATGATTTAGCTGGAGTTTATTTATTATGCCCTTTTAACTGATAGATACAGTTTCTTAGTTCTTCTCTGTATGCAATCTTATGTGTTGTGCACTAAGATACAGGGACAGAGCATAAGGGATATATGTGCCTTGAGTTCTTTTTGTTACCTATTTGCTTTGCAGTGCTTGTCTTTAGTTCACTAAGAATTTCTTAAGCAGACTACAGCCCTACTCCATTCATTGTTCATGGATTCATGGATAGGATAGAATAGGAAGGATACTGGATACTGTGCAAAATCTCAACTAGCATAAGATGACTATACTGCAGATATAGGTCGACTACTGCCTCCTTTTGGTTTGCTTGATGTATTGCAGGATATTTTCAGTTTAAAATAAATACAAGATTGATCATATGCCGCCTACATCTTATTGTCTTCTTAAAATTCTTAAGCAACAGAGTGCACGGTTATCTTTGGGCAAGTCCAGACCCACAGAGATGTGCCAAGTAAATATAATGCGGCTTCTGTGTTTAATCTTCCATTGAAAAAATGTGTATAATGTATAAATGCATCTTCAAGAAATAAACTAAATTGCACTCGCTTACTAAAATTCCAAATTTAAACTGTTAAAACACATATCACCAATGCGTGCTGTGCGTCCTCGTTAGATCCAATGCTACGTCATGACGTACGGGGGACGTTTTGAGGAGATAAACAAAAAGGAAGGAAGCTTCGGGTCACACAATCGCGGCAAAATCGGTTCAAATATTTTGGTTTTGGGCTGCAATAGTGATTGCATGGTTGTTTGTGTTGTGTAGGTAAGCTCTTTTAGCCATTTACAACCATGGACGACACGATAATATTTCGTATGAGCGCGTTTTCGGAACAAGGAGGGAGGAAATACATGGAGGATGTTGTCGATATAAGGATTGAGTACGAACCTACAACATCGCCCGTTGAGGATGACTCAAAATCACACTCGTACGACGGAGAGGACAAACAAATGAATGACAGTGAAACAAACAAACAGACTGCAAACGGAACGCATGAACACACGGACCATAAGGTCGAGTGCGGCCAGGCTGCTGCTGCTATGTGGGTCGAGAGTCTCTCAAACGAGGACAGCGGTAACAACAGCGCGCCGGGGCAGGATCAGGGCGCCCCAGAGCATAGTGTGGTGGACACGAGGAAATCCGTGGCATTTTTTGCCGTGTTTGATGGCCACGGTGGCCGTGAAGCAGCACAATTTGCCAGAGAAAACCTATGGAGTCTATTAAAACGACAGCGAGGATTTTGGTCTCACGACCATAACGAGGTCTGTGCAGCGCTACGCAAAGGCTTCATAGCGTGTCACCACGCAATGTGGAAAGAACTGCGTAAGTTTTGGCTTGGATTTACCGGTTGCAATTACTACCTAGTACTTACATGTGTATGATAAACTTGTTATGTCTGCAATGTGAGACCGTTCTGCCATGCACGCATGTAATGTTATGTTAAAAGGCTTACTGTGTGAAATCATATACATACCGGGGCGTCATCTGACCCCAAGACTGATTTAAAATCAGTTATGAAATATGAAGGGAGACGCCGATTCACCATACTTTACATTCATATTATTAGTTTTATGCAGTTTGTATCTGTTATGTTATAGGCACCATTTATTCTTGTACAAAAATATACCATACAGATTCTAAGAAAAAGCTGAATAAATGGGACCCCAAACGTGGTGCAAGGAGTAACACACAATTGCTCTTGTGCCTTGCTGCTTTGAAACAGTCTTGATTTCAAACTATGTCATGAGTACTGTTTGTTCTCTGTTTTGCTTTTCCTTCAGCTGAGTGGCCTAAAACTCTCACAGGTTTGCCCAGCACATCAGGAACCACAGCCAGTGTTGTGGTCATCCGTGGAGTTCATATGTATGTGGCCCATGTTGGGGATTCAGCAGTTGTTGTTGGAGTGAAGGAAAATGACTCTGACATTGCCTTGGAGGCCCTTGAACTGACACAAGATCACAAGCCAGAACTTCCAAAGGAAAAGGAAAGGATTGAGCGATTGGGGGGCAGGTAAGCACTGACTTTGAGTAGTCAAATCACTGACATATGAAAATCTTGCATCTCTGATGGAAATAACAGAGCTGCTAGTAGATAACCACCGATGCTATTCTGTACTATAGGATAAGTGTATGCTATGAGATATATCCAAAACTGATTAATCACATACAGTTATTTATTTTTTATTGACAACTTAATTTACTTCATTTTAGTATTAGACCATGTCAATTCTTTAATTAGGTGAAATAAAATCATTTGTGTACTTGTTTAGTGTTATGAAGAAGTCAGGAGTGAACAGAGTTGTGTGGAAAAGGCCCAGACTGACTCATAACGGCCCTGTGAGAAGAAGTACAGTCATTGACCAGATTCCCTTCCTGGCTGTCGCTCGCTCATTAGGTAACTTTCAAGCATATGCTTATAAATGTACAGCATCTGAACATATGTCGTACAACATTGTATGTTTCTTCTTGCTTTGTTTGGGTAGGTGACCTTTGGAGTTATGATTTCTACAGTGGAGAATTTGTGGTTTCGCCAGAGCCTGATACAACTGTGATGGCACTGGACCCCAAAAAGCATCGCTATATCATCATTGGCAGTGATGGACTGTGGAACATGATGCCACCCAAGAATGCAGTGAATATGTGCTATAGCCACGACAAAATGGTGGTTCGTATTTTACAGAATATTTTTTGTGACTGAAGTTGTGTGTAAATGTATATACGGTTTAATATGCAAATCTAAAAAGAGGCATGTACTATAATATTTTTTCTTTTTTAATGACTACAAATGCATAGTGTTTGTGGGGTTCATTCTGGTATAATATCTTAGCTCAATTAACAAAACAAAATCTTTTGTTTTTGCATTTAGGGACCAAAGGCCATGTCTTGTGCTAGGCGCTTGGGCTGCACAGCTCTTTTGTTTTGGAAAGAACGTATGCTTCGAGCCGACAACACAACAGTTATCGTCTTGGCCCTTCATGAGAGAGGCGGCGCTCCCATCCCCATGCACCGAGATGAGATTGTTGTGGACATGGCCACAGGGATTGACCATGTCCCATATCCCGGAACGACTTATAACACGTGTGAGGTCCCAAAGGTCAGTGCTGCCACTTTTCTGGATTAACCACCACAAACGCAGATATTTTCCAAGTGCAGAGTAGGAGTGGGTGATATTGATAAAAATGTATTTTGTGAATTGTAGCAGTATTGTAGCAATCCTTAATGTAATGTAGTAATGTAATTAAAAAATTTACTTGCATGATTAATTTTAATCACCTCTTTTGCAGCTTTTTTGGTTAGTTTTAGATAATATGCAAAATTCTAGTATATCTTAAAACAGCCACTGTGATATTATTAATTTTTTTGATATATCTCCCACCCCTTGTGCAGAGTGATCACTGCCACTCTGACAATGGAACAATACTGAATATATGTCTGTCTTTTGCTAACCACTGTACTTGTCTATGTTATCCAACTCAGTCTTTGATTTAGATTCTTGTAACTATTCTCTTTTCAAAATACTAAAACCTATTGAATCCCAGTAGCCATCATTGCCTTTAGCGACTCTTGTGATCAGTGGTGCTTCTCTGTTTCCGGGGCTGCCAGGCGGAGCATGAGGATGGCATGTATTTTGAAGAGGATGAGATTTTTGGAGAAGAGCATGAGGGATGGACATGCCTGGAGTGGTAGTGAGGTGAATGCCAAATTATACCAAAAATGTGTCAGTAATATTTTGAATTATTGTGGAAGAATGTATTGAATTATTTTTAGTTGTAATTCACTCAACAAATCTGAAATGGTTTGTGTCAAATTGATGGCACTTTAGAACCATACAATCTTCACATTATGCGTAGTGGTGATAGTTGCCACTAGAGGGAGACAATGAACTTGAGTCTGGCAAATGCCAAACGTAGCAGGGTCGAAGTGAGCTATATCTGTATCTTTTGTTTTTGTCTACACAGTATGTTTACCATCAGTACTCATTATCATTTTCATTAGTAAGTCTAACGTAGTTTAGCCTATTTTAGTCAATATGCAATAACAATGATTTCCTGTTTCATTTCAGAGCAATGACATGACAGTCCCATCCTCCATTTCTCTGGAGCAGACACTGGGTTTGTATGAAGCTGCTTTCTGTGCCACTACACAAGCGTTCCCTGACTGTGGAGGAACTATGCCGCTCTCTCCGGAAGATTCACATATTGAAAAGCAAGCAATACCAACCCAAATAGAATCCACATCCTCTTCTCCTCCTTTGAAGCGGACTCGTCGATTTCCGCATAGTAGCAGTGATGGTATTGGTCGGCCCTCTAAAAGTTTACTTCAAAAGACTCATGACCAAGTACAAGGTGAACCATCCCATGAAAAAGTAGAGAAAAGCTCGTCTGAAGAATGCACTATTCTGCCCCAGCACCACGAGCTGCCTTGTGTGCGTGCTGAATGTTAGCAAGAACAATAATCTGCATTTTTAGACATGATGTCACATGCTGCAGCCTAATATATATTTTATATGGACTTTCTGTAAAAAGGTGTAAAACTTGAGATTATGGCTGTGTTGCTGTGTTCCTCCCCCTTTTATAGTTTTATTTGATTTTTTTTTTTTTTATCATTTTAACATTTACCTTTTAAGATTTTACAAATGGTATGAAATTTTAAGCTTTTCATTTTAATATCTATTTTCATACAAAAAAAAAATGCTGATTTACTCAAAATTTTATTTTGATGAAGTATTCAAATCAGATCACCTCTTCCACAATATTCAAAAAAAAAAAAAACTTTACTTGATTGGAGTGTCTTTATGACTGAGAGAGGAAACTGCAGTGATAATCAGCAAAACTACATTTTGAAAATTTTGTTCATTTCTAACATGGACAGAGAACACTTGATAGGAGTGATTCAGTTAAAAAAAAAGTACTTAGTCATAAGCTAATCACTCAGGATAAATCATTGTTGTACTGTAAACAAACTTTCCCAAGTCTATTTCATGTACTGTCTCCTCGTCAAGTCATTTTAAGTGTTTGTTTACTGTATCAATTGATCTAGCATAATACTATGACCACCTAGATTATTGGTGCACAGCAATACTGGCTTATATTACAGCCCCTTATGCGATGTACCTCACTGGACTGCTGTTCAATTGGTATAGCTATGATGCTAAATGAATATGTTTGCCCATTTTCCCACTTCCAGTTGCAACATAGCAATTTTGAGGGCTAAATGTTTAAAAACACAAAAACTTCCACTGCTCAATACAATACAATATAATACAGTATTAACAGAACTACCTTTAATACTGCTGGTGGTAATAGTGTTATGCCTCATTGGTATGTAAAAGTTTATTGTAGTGTTCTGTATATTTCTTTAGTAAAGCAGACGAATAAGCTATGGGTTATTCAAAGTGGAGTATAAGACCTGTGCCTTGTTCAGTTGGCTTTGCTCTCATGTGTTAACTCCCAGAAATACAAGATGTCTTCCTCTTTTTTTATTCCTTATTTTAACGTTTTAACATTTCAAATGTTATGGTACCAATACAAATTCAAGTGCCCAATCCTAAATGATGGTGAATTCTAACAAAATAGTATATTCAAAGTTATAATGTGTAACGATGGCAGCTCAGTACCTGTTTTGTCTCTGTCTTGTTTGTTGCCTTAGGACAAATGTGCATCTGGCCTAATTCAGTCTAATGTGTGAACAGCTGTGGCCTGGTGGTAATCACAAATCTTGCAATTTGAGTTGTACCACTGACGATGCTGCGTACTAACCCTGGCACTTCCTGTCAAATGTTTAATGTTGGTTTTGTAAAGTGCTTCATTATGCAAAAGAAGTTTGTACAGCACATCATTATGCAATGTTTTTCCTCTGGAGCATGCTCAGATACTATATTTAACTGTCCAGAGCCAATGGAAGTCTATGGATTTTTTTTCTGATATATTTGATGATATATTACATCCACTTTGCAGAGGAAATTGTTACATTCTATATACAGTGACTGGTTCAGTGTTTGTTGTAATAAAGTTCTCATTTTTCACAAAGTAGCATTTTTGTCACTCTGCAGTCTGATCAGCATCTCTTCTATAATTTTAAATAACTGTTAATCCCTAACAGCCAAATGTAATTCCATCACTGGTTATTTGGTGTCAGTATGTTTCTGAATTTCTTATATTTGCAGGGGTCTACACTCAAAAATTCAATCCTCTGTTCTCTCATGTACAATCCTGTTAAGAGACAACATCATCTCCAGTCATGTTAATATTTCATAATCTGTCATTTCAACATGTCTTGACCTGGATCCTCTGGTCCGTAGGGCCAGTGCTATGTCATGGTTAATCTATCAAACTTGCATCCCCTGTGTCATGGTCTTCTGTACCATTTTCCAGTTGATCATTCTTAAAAATCTAAATGTATATTTCAATAACAACATTTTTGCATTTATTGACACAAGGCAATTAATTTTAAAGGCCAAGTTGTTTATGAATGTCTCTATTGTGGATTTCCTAATCTCTGTACCAATCAGTCTAATTCTGGCTGTGGCTTATTGGATGTGCTCAGGTTAAGATCCTTCACCTAACAGACTTTGGGTTGTGTTTTCTGAAAAGCTTTTTAACCCCATGCACTAAACTGCCTTAACCCATCGCAGACACTGGATTGGTGTTTCTAAGAACAATGGTGCTATATATCATAGGATCAATCACTTTAATAGTGAATAGGATACAATGAACTCGGTGTTTAGAACAATTGCATATAAGATATGAAGATTTCCACATTACGGTGGTTGGGTTGTGTTAAATGTTAAGATGTTTTTTGCAGAAGATAAAAGTCTTACGTTTGGGTGTTACCTACAGTCAATCCAACAACATTTTTGTTGTATTGCCCAGTTCTAATTAAGAGTATTTGCTTTCCTTGAAACTGGACATGCTACTGTCTTCTAATCACAGACGTCACAACATCACAGTGAGGCTCTTAGTCTGATCAAACCGCTTAAGACCCGGATTTTAACGCCATAGAGGGCCATCAGTCCGAAGCGGAGGTGAGAAGCTTTATCGAGTGACAATCTTGTGTGTGTGTTTTATCATAAGAGCCATCCTTAATCTGCTGACCCCGTTTAAACTCAGGCTCTAATCCTGGTAATTAAGAGTCCATTACAGTGTCCAGGCACATGCTGTGAGAAGCTACTTGAGAAGTGTCACAGGTTCTATACAAGGCTTAAGAGCATGCATAACTAACTTTATTAAAAAACAAACCAAAACATCCAGGATACAACTATATGTTAATCTGATTAAAGATGTTACAAACTACAACATTGCTCTAAAGAACTGTTTTTTGTTGATCAAAGCTTTTCAGTTATTGTTTTGATCAAGGGTCTCCATGAGGGTACTTCAGGATGGATGGTGCCTCCAAATAAAAGTTATTTTTAAAGTTCTTGTTTAATGTGTTTACACATATCTAAACATGTTTTGGATGCCTTCTGCATCCTTCTTCAGTCGAATGATGTTATGGTGACATGTCTTGCTACCTGATTTATACAGATTTTATGAATGTTGCCTTTTGACAAGGACTGGGTCCATTAAGATTCATTCAACTGAGTGAGCCCTCAATCTTATAAAAAAAAATAAAAAATCTACAATATAGAAATATGTATTTACTCTTTATACACTTTGCAGAAATGTCAGAGTTCAGTTTAGAATATTTCTAGAACCAAATCTTTTGAATTTTGATCATATAACACCGCATACTAAATAATAAAACACGTTCTGTAATCAAAACTATTCTGAAAAGAACTGAGTTGTGTTAAAGTAGTGCCACTTTGACAGCTCTGGGCAGTGAACTCTCTCAAGTGCCACATGTAAACTCTTAATGTGCACTGTTGTGGGACTTATCTTGGATCTCTTAGTCTTAGAGATCCAGAGTAATTACTGCAACTACGTAAATGTGCATTTTGCAATTTTGCACTATTACTGATATCCCTTAATTGGTCAGTGCAAAATGAAGGTCGGATGCATTGCCTCTAAGGTCAATGTCAATACATCTTTGTATAGAACTGTTGTTCTATAGATGTTTAATCTTTTTTCATTTATATTACAATAACTGCTATCAGTTTTAGTCAGAGGTTGCCTTCAGTAAAATGAACTAAAAACTGGGACAGACATCTGGGGGATATGTGACCAAATGTGAACAGACAAGAGAAGCCATTTGGATCCTCGTGGGAATCGAGTTAAGATGTAGCGCATCTGTGAGGTAGCTTATTGAAGAACGTAAAAGAATTCAAGTGTTAGAATGGTTGCTGAGGAAAACACGAGAGTCGACCTGTGTAGTCTACAGTTTTCGTACGCACAGAAGGACGCAGCTGGTTTCGTGTAATGTGCTTTCTGACCTTCATCCACTGTCCTCACCTCACCTAATAAATCCGCCTTCAAGAGTTCCGTTTAGTCCTGTGTCCGGATAAGACCGTACTGTAAAGACTCACGCAGTTACGGATCCACACGATGCCAACTCTTCCGTCTGGATCCGGATCAGTCAGACTATTTGCATGCGGACGTCGCAACAAGTGCTGAAAGTTATTCAATTTTTCTATGGTGGAAACTGTGTGAACGCACACATGAGAGATACTCAAACTATCGCTATGGCTTACCATCCACATTATTCATCCACACCTGGTGCGTTTGCAACAGCAAGCCTCGTGCGCCCAACACCGAGCTTCCAAGAGCCGCTCTTGAACCACAGCACTGCGGATCCCACGCACGCTTCTTTGAGACGTACTCAAGAAATTTTATCAGAAGAGCCGAGTGACGACCCGAAGGTCACACTTGAAGCAAAGAATCTATGGAAATTATTTCATAAAATAGAAACTGAGATGGTCATTACCAAATCTGGAAGGTATGAATCTTACTTTTTTACGCAGTTTTACGCTTGCGCGTAAAGTTGTGTTGTGGCTATTCGCTATGCATAGCAAAAAAATCTGTCATTTGAAAATGTTTGCTTTGCAGGAGAATGTTTCCTCCGTTTAAGGTGCGCGTAAGTGGCCTGGATACAGCTGCAAAGTATATCTTGTTGATGGACATAGTTTCCGTGGATGACTGCCGTTACAAATTTAACAATTCCCGTTGGACAGTAACAGGGAAAGCTGACCCAGAGATGCCCAAACGCATGTATATTCACCCGGACAGCCCGTCCAAAGGAGAGCACTGGATGTCCAAACCTGTGGCCTTTCATAAACTCAAACTCACTAACAACACATCAGACAAACACGGATTTGTAAGTTTATATAATTATATTAACTCCTGTGTTTAATGAGGTTATATCAATGTCTTATTGCTACTCTTGTTTTGGTAGACAATTCTTAATTCGATGCATAAATACCAGCCCCGTTTCCACATCGTGAGAGCCAATAGCATCATGAAGCTTCCCTACTGCACTTTCCGAACATATGTCTTCCCAGAGACTGAGTTTATTGCTGTCACAGCTTATCAAAATGAAATGGTAAGACAGATCTAACCTTCAGGGTAAAATGTAATTAAGAGGTATTGGCAGTTAAATAGAAATAAGCATTTTTGTATCACACATGATCTTGTTCATCAGATCACACAACTCAAAATAGACAACAACCCATTTGCCAAAGGATTTAGAGACACAGGAAATGGAAGAAGAGAAAAAAGGTACAGTACGCTTTTTGGCAATAAACAAAGCTAAAATGTTTATGTTTAAACACAATATTAATTTATTCTCACGTCATTCCACAGGAATAAATCTTTTTCGTCTCTAGAAGATGATTCACGCCAAACTGAGCAGAACCACAGTGACTCTGAGGACTCGTCTGAACTAATGTCTGCATGTGACTCACTTTACTCTCCTCTGGAAGTGGTTAGCAGTCCCCTGATGTCACTGCACACTCAACAAGGTAGAAATTAACAATAATTATCTGGTTACCTTTATTTACCTTTAAGCAATGAGTCTTTAATGTTTACAACACAGCCTGTGATACACCATGTATTGTGTTTCCCCAGGAGAAATGTGGAGTGATTGTTCCAGTACTGATATCATAAATGGATCAACACCTGATGATGCACACTCGGCAATCAAGGACTCCATGAGATATACTGAAGACAGAAATATTTCATTTCCACTTCACACTGTTTGTTTATCTCAGAATTCACCATGGCATCTTCAAACATTAACTTTATCTGACATGCACAAACACGAGTCTCTCAAATTGAGGTCACCAACAATGTTTCACCCAGGACAACTGACTACAACGCCACTTGATTTCTCAGCACCAGCTACAGGGCAAATGGCTTCATCTTTGACACTGGGAAATGAAATGATATCTCAGAGTAGACATCATCCATCTCTATACATCTGTTCTTTGCCACAAAACCTTTTCCCATCCCAGGTATGTTCTCAGGATTCAGATGTTACCATTATGTTAAACAAAGGCAGTCCCAAAGTTATCAGCGGGCCCTAATTAACTTGGGCATTTACTATTGCTGATTTACATCTCACAAAATAGCATGCAGATGTAATCACAGGTGTGTTTTGTTGTGATATAAGAGAGGCTAAAGAGAAAAATATGCAAAATAAGACATTCCAGCAGTTTTATTCATACTCAAAATTAGCTTTTGAGATCGAGATCAGGATCAAACACCATTAAACAAATATTTAAGACAAAATCAAAACTTCTATAGTGATAAAACAACAAAATTACAAGAACCAAAGCACTCTAGAACACCCTCATTAACTACTGCATCAGTACTGCAATAGAGTGCTATAGAATTTAACACATTATAGTGTCAGAATATTTCTAGGTGAATTAATCTTACAATTTTCATTGCCTTACTATTTGTTGAGGGCTGACTACACAATCCTGAGCTCTATGGCAAATCATAGTGTGTTGCTCTTTCTACTACTTTCTTGTTCTTAGGGTCTGTCACCTTATGGCGAACTCCATCCATACCCACCTTGCTTCTTGTCTTCTACTCTTGTGGCTCCAGCTCTTTCCACCGCCTCTGTGACTTCCACTTCACCACCACACCTCTCCTTCCACAGCTCTCACCCCTGGATGAGACCGGGTCCTTATCATATTCCTGTATCGCTCAACTCCAGCACAAACCTGCAGATGGACAGAAAACGTAATAATTCACAGCGCAAATCAAGCCAGAAAATTGATCACATAAGTGTCAGTGGATCTGTGCTCTAGACGTGTGCAATTAAATGATTTTTTTTTTTTATCAAATCAATATCCAATTATTCCATAATGTCCATATCAGCTTGGGGCCTGTTAATAGATAGGTTTATAATTTTTTAGGTTATAGGTTTTTTTCTGACTTCTGGGAATTAATGGGATATATTTGGTGTTATTAGAAAGCCTATCTTGTAACATGAAATGATTATTTAAAGTCACTGTAACTGACTTTATTTGACTTGTATTTAATGTAAAAAATCTACTTTTTTTTTTTACCCTATATAGCCCCACTATGCACAGACATGTTTAATTTTGTATTGATTTTTTGCCATGGTTACACTGCCTTTTGAGTGCCCACTGACCGGCACATCTTTTCAAATCACATTACATGTTCTATTGTTATGTCACAAATTTGAATTAAAGATATACTGAAAATCTAATTGTTCAGACGTCTTATTCAAGTGTCACAAAATAGTGTTTACATAGGCTAGTAGACCGTCTGATAACAGAGACTGCCTAGACTTTTATTGAGTGGACTGTCAGATAGATGTGTTATTTTTGTTTCATGATGTTGTCATGTGACGTTAATAGTAACGATGTCACTATTAAATACAAAAAAGCAATCATACGTGAATTTTTTTTTCAAATTTTTGTTTTTTTAATTGTACAATGTGATGATATTATACTTTCCAATGGGGGGCAAGATCCAATTTTCCCTATTGTATTTGTTATACTACATTGTATAACAAATATCTAAAAAGACAATTGACAATTAAAGCCGCGCGATGTTTGCCCTCGCCCCTGCGCACACTACCCTCCCAAGCGACTGTCGGGGACTCGCAACCGCCCCGGCACACCACTGTCTCTTCCCCACAGCCGCCCAGACCGACAGCTCGTCCAGTAGGAAAATTACATAATGCACCTTTTAATGTTTCTTAGGAGTCATTGCGCCCCTGCTGGTCAACAGTAAAAAATAACTCCGGTCTGTAATAGACTTTTTTGCTTGTGGTTATGCATAGAATTTAATCACTGAATTTGGTACTAATCCGATAATGTTGACGTTTCATGTCTATGCTGGGGGCAGTGTTGCGCAAGTTCACACTTTTCATGAACTAGTTCAAAGTTCAGTTCACATTTGTTCAAAGTGAACAGTTCGCATTCATAGTTCACAATTTTAATTTTGAACTAGTTCAAAGTTCAGTTCATTTTATTTTTAGGTGAGATATGCAAATAAAAGGCTGCATTTATTTTTCAAACTGACTTCTAGTTTACAACAACTTTATAAGATCCACTGTTGGGCAAGTTACTTTAAAACTGTGATGTGTTATTTATGACTTGTTCCTGTCATTTCAAAGTCATTTGTTACATTACAATATTACTGTATTTAAAATGTAAAACATTACACGACTATTGCAGCACTTTTGAGTTACTCTCACCAAAAGAACTGCGAAGATGCTGAACTTTTGCGCCGTATATGGACTGAACCAGGACTAAAATCAGGACTGAACCAGATCTAAACCAGGACTGAACCAGATCTAAACCAGGACTGAACCAGATCTAAACCAGAACTGAACCAGGTCTAAACCAGAACTGAACCAGAACTGAACCAGGACTAAACCAGGACTAAACCAGGACTGAACCAGAACTGAACCAGGTCTAAACCAGAACTGAATCAGGACTAAACCAGGACTAAACCAAAACTGAACCAGGTCTAAACCAGGACTGAACCAGGTCTAAATCAGGACTGAACCGGAACCAGGACTAAACCAGGACTAAACCAGAATTGAACCAGAACTGAGCCAGTAATAAACCAGGACTGAACCAGGACTAAACCAGGTCTAAACCAGAACTGAACCAGGTCTAAACCAGGACTAAACCAGGACCAAACCAGGACTAATCCTGGACTAGAACTTGGAATCTAGGACCGCCCCTGAGAGAAGACACTGACACTGTCTGGAAAATTAAACCTATGAAATTTATAAAGGTTTATATTATTGAGCTGAGGCTTTATAAAACCTCTAAAATGCACTGGCATTTGACAAACTGCACAGAGTCTCTTCAAAACTTTCCTGGGGAGGAGCATGGAAAGATAGATAGATAGATAGATAGATAGATAGATAGATAGATAGATAGATAGATAGATAGATAGATAGATAGATAGATAGATAGATAGATAGATAGATAGATAGATAGATAGATAGATAGATAGATAGATAGATAGAAAGACAGACAGATAGATAAATCTGCGTTAGATAGACAGAGCAGCGTTTCCCACAGAGAACTGTCAAGGCGGTGCTGCTGCCGAAAAAGTGAGGAGGGGAGATTCTTTGCATGGAGAAGTGAGGAGCGGGGGCGCGGAGATTCCGCGACCGCGATGACCGGAGTTTTGCAGGAGTCACGTGGTTCGGAGGAACGTACTCGAGACGACGCTTTAACTCTAAAGTGCTACGGGAAACACTGGATAGATACATAGATAGATACCTTGGGATAGTTGTCATGGTGATTCCCGCCAGGTGGGCGTGGTCACGTGAGTACAGATGTATGCTGGGTTCTTTAAAAATGGCGCTCACCTGCACAGGTAAGGGACATGTCACCAGGTGACGTGGCACCGAGGAGCCGAGCCAACTCGTTTTGTTTGTCGACAACTTCACTAAAGTGACTCTTGATGTTACTTCAAACGTTGCTTTATGTCAGAGGAAGTTCCTCTCACGGCCGCGCGCCGTTTTTTAGCAACAAAGAAAGAAAAGGCGGAGCGGAAACCGCAGGACCCGCGCAATTCAGGAAAATGCGCCAAATATGCAGCGCGACCCAAATTGCCATCAGCACGACACAGCACGACAAACAGCACGACAAACAGCACGACAAACAGCACGACAAACAGCACACAAACAGCACGACAAACAGCACGACAAACAGCGCGGAGGAGTCCAGGTGAGTCTTACGAGTCCAGGTGAGTCTTGTTTGTGGATACAGAATCATTATTGCAATAATAAATTGCTGTTCGGTTGTAAATGTTTGATGAATAAAGCTGCTCCTGCTGGTGCATATTTTACTCCGCGCTCTGATTCACGTTTATGCAATGTGCAAAGTGAATTGAAATAAATAAAGTAATGATGTGATGAGCTTCAAATGATCATGATGCTTTTGTTGAAAGGAAATCTATTTCACTCTGTGGATGTGTTTTAATTGATGGCTCACTGAAAAAGGTGGATTATAAAGGAAACATGAAGGTTTCGGCCTTGTGTACTGAAACTGTCTGGTAAAAGGAAACTTACAGAAAGGCCTTTTTTGAAAAACAAATGCAAAAGGTTTTGTCAGTAAAATGAAGGAAACTATCCCACAAACGAAACTCATGAAACAAAAGCAAAAACATGTCTCAAATAAAATCTCTAAGTATTTTGATGTGTGAAAAATGTCATTTATCACAAAGGGTGAAACAGTGTTTTTCAAACGTAACAAATTGCAATGAAAAGGTTTAAACATGTACACCAAGGTTGGGTCAATGAACTGGAACACAATGACTCATAATTATATGAAATGAATGGTACATTTGTGGGAATTAAATGATCACTTTCCAAACTTGAATGATATAAGGATGGTACAGGACCTGCCACAAAACACTCAAACATGCAAATTTAAAAAGTGCAATACAAAAAGTGGAAAGTGTCAAAGGTTTCAAATGGATGAAAACCACTTGGAAAATGAAAATCTCTCATCTATCCTGGAAATTAAAAAAAATGTACGCAAATGCAACTCTACCAATGGTCATAGTGTAACCCTCAAATCCTAAAACGTCCTCTCAAAACAAGATCTCAATGCTGAGGATTTTTAACGGCTCAGATTTGGGCCTAAACTGGTTCAAATGTGTCAGATTCTATACACACTTTTATGGAGACTGTGTGGTCTCTTATGGGTTGATCTGGTCTAAATGTGGACTGCATTTTAATGTTTAATTTCCACAGGTGGCACTTGGTTTTGGGTCCTTGTGTTGCGTTTCGTGCAGGTTTGGGGTGGTTGGTAATAGTAAAACTGAAACAAGTGCATAATTAACCAAAATTGTGATGCACTCAGACCACCTTGCTGAAAGAGTTTACCCGAACTCTGCGTTTTGGGTTGAACGTGCATCAGCTTTCCCCCCAAAACCCAAAGGTGAATATAAAACTGTTTGGCTGAAAATACATACAATACATAGTATTTGTAATTTAGTTTCTAACTTTTCCTTTGTGTTTGCAGGTTTGGGTGGTGTTCTTTAACCCTTCAACAGGTGTCAGTTTATTATTATTATTTATATTATTATCATTGTTAAATAGTTCATAGTTAAATCTAAGCTAAATCTACTTCATGTCTTGAAACTGTGAGACATGAAAATCATCTGCGACAACTGTTGCAGATGTTAGTTTATTTTATTTGAAAACAGCTAAAGCTAAAACATATCTGCCATATGTTACTGACTAACCCTGGAGTTTTTCAGGTTTTAGGTTGGTGTCTAACCCTTTTACAGCAGCTCTGTGATATCTACTACTGCTATATAAGCTAAAGAGTGCTTCTGACCAGTGAAAACTGAACTGTTGCCTCCATCTGAAGTTAAAAAGGAACCAAGAACTAAGAAGAATGGAAAATCTTATATCAAATATAGAATGAATGAAAGAATTAATCCAGAGCACCTTGCTGGAAGAGTTTACCTAAACTCTGTTTTGGGTTGGGTTTGGGTTGGGCTTCAGCAGCTTTCCACCAAAAACCCAAAGGTGAATTTAAAACTGTTTTGCTGAAATACACTAGTATTTTTGTAATTTTGTTTTGAAACTTTTCCTTTGTGTTTGCAGGTTTGGGTGGTGTCCTCTAACCCTTCTATAGTATCAGTTTATTATTATTGTTAATTAGTTCATAGTTAATCTAAGCTACTTGTAAATCTACTTTCGTGTCTTGCAAATGTGAGACATGAAAATCATCTGCGATAACTGTTGCAGATGTTAGTTTATTTTATTTGAAAAACAGCTAAAGCTAAAACATGTCTG